CGGTTCAGTGGTAGCAGTCAGGGCTCTATAATCTACCGTTAGCCGCCATTTGCCATTAGGTTTCTTTACAGGCCATACAGGAGGGGAATGAGACTTGATGATGATACCCCGTTCTTCCAGCTGCTTTATCAATTCAGTAACAGGACGGATGGCATCAGAAGGTAACTTGTACTGTGGAACATTAGTTAGCTTGCTGTGTGGTAGGGGAGCAGCCATCTGTAACAAGCTCACAGTTAAGGGTACGTAAATGCGGGGTAAATTGTGGGGCAAAGGGGGTGGTTTTCCCATTTTCCCCATGAGTTCACCCATGACTGGCCCTTCAATACATCCATACCTAAGATATTGTGAGGACCTAAGAGCAAGGTTGGGTGAACTGTCCATCCATTAGACAGAATTTATTTAGTCTGGACCAGGGGGTGGGTAGTGACTTGTCCATTAACACCTACAATAGAAACCAGCTGTTTGCTAAGTGGAGGTTGCCCTTTGCAAGTGTCCTTATTTACCATTGGGATTTAGGCTCCTCTGTCAATAAGGAATGATGTAAAGTAGCAATCATTAACTGCGACCATCATCTCAGGACCTGAATTCTTAGAAGTGGGACTAGTGGCCACTAGTACTTCCACTGACTCAAGCCCTAGTTTCCCACATGTTCACGGTCTAGGTTCAGTGGTGGTAGATTTGGCCATCTCCCCAAGCTCACGTTCCTGGTATCCTCCGGCTCCCTTTCTTAAATCATTCGGCATCTCCCCCATCCCCCAATCCAGGTCCCAGAGTATTATCATGAGGAGTTAATGAGGGAAACCCAGCCAATTGCTGTAAAACAGGAGTTGGCAGCCCATTTAACTCTTTATCTAAACATAATTTCCATAATTTCTTATGTTCAGTAGTGACTGAGGGTGCTCCCCAATTTCCCTGTTTTGTTTTCCCCTTTTGCATAGAGACAGGCTGGCTTTTTCCCATTGCATTTACTTTAGCTGATATTCTCCACTGGCTTTTATCTTTTGTGATGTATAGTGGTAAATCTGCTAACCTACCTTGGAGGACCTCTTGGAAGGTCTTGCCATTTAAGCCTGCCTTAACAGATAAGGCTAATGATTTCAACACTCCCTTTGCTCCATTTACTATGAGATGGAGATGTCCTGGCTCACAAATAACCATCCAGGGATTCAGTTAAGTGGGAGGAGGCTGTCTGGCACCTGGGGCAACAGGTGCTGGTCCTTCCAATTCAGCTAAAATGGCAATTTTCAGCAAGGCAGTTTGTAAACTGGCTACTGAGTTCCATGGCCATGCACCTTTCCCCCCACAATCAGTAGAATGTAAAGCACATCCCCAGCGTAGAGCGCAAGTCCATAAAGAACTTGTAATATTGAGCCCTGCAGTATCTAACAATATTCCTGGACCTAATGCTAATGATCGAGCTTCATCTGGGGTAAGATGGAGCTGGCTGGCTCTGGCTGTCCAGATTCGTGCTAGCCATCCCACAGGTGTTTCCTCTGGTTGAGCTTGGTATCTCCCCTCCAGATGTCTTAATTCTAAGGCAGTAAACCCTCTAGTAGTTGTTATGGGGCAGATGGGTTTTGCACCTCCATGGGTGCACCCTATTGTTCGCTCTTGATTAATGGTGCCAAGAAGACAGGAAGAGAAGAAACATCCCCTTCATCACCTGGCCCTGAGGATCGAGGGTCAAAGTCCGATGGACCCCAGATATCCCCATCCCAATCGTCATCGTACATGGCACAAGAGATTTTAACTGGGTCTATCATAGTAGCTTCCGGCAACCTTGTCCTGCACCCCTCAGCTTCTACAATTATCTGGGGCTGGAGTTTTGACTCAAGCAATTTATTTTTGCATTTCTAATTGTCTACACTTTACCTCCCAAGTATTTCCATTTTTCTCCTCCTCATTCTCTTTTTTCAATCGTATGATCTCCCCCTTCATTTCATCAATCTTTTATCAGTGGCTGCTCTAAGACAAGTGCCTAGTAGCCAGCACAGAGCATCTTTCCCTTTTCTCTTCTTTAGCTTACAAGAAGCTCGCCATTGGTCAAACTCATGCCAAATTCCTTCAGCATTCGTGCAGTGGCTCTCAACCCAGGAGAGAGCGTTTCGCCATCCCTCTTTCTCAAATTTATCTGCCAGTTGTTGCCATTCACTCTTTAGTTTTTTGTTTGTGGCCATCTCTTTCTCACACACACGCTCTACACTCACACTTGAACAATTGCCTGGATTGTCATGGCAAATAACTTTGTACCCGCCAACAGAACATGTCCAAGAGAGATCCCACTTTTGACACCAATACAATGTCACAGTTTGTTTTGATCTCTCAAATTTACAGGACAGCATACTGTGTGAAACAAACTTTATTTTTACAAGCTCATTAAGTAAAAAAAAACAAAAAACAAAACAGGGGGTTAATCCCTTCTCTGTAGACTAGCCTAAATTGTTAATTCTTTAGTTACTTAATTTTCTAGTTTATTAACTTGATAATTTGTTAATTCACAGGCTTATGTACAAAATAGTTACCTGACCAACAGTGAGAGTGCACGTCCTTCCTCCTCCGTCATGATACAGGCGTCCCCTGAATTGCACCAGGAAGCATGAGAGCCTGAGCAGTCCAGCTGCTGGGGGATCCGCTTCAAAGGCTCTTTGGGCAAGCTGACATATTTGTACCTTCCAGCTTGGAAAGTTTGGTCTATACCATCCCTATTGGTCATTTCAGTTACTGGGCAAGGATTTACTTAATTCCAAAGAGTTTCAGTCTTATCAGGCGTTAACAAGCAGTTACTTATAAAATTGCAAGGATAACAGACCTCATTCTTTTTGTCCTTGAGTATCTGGCATACATGTTGCTCTCACTTTAGCCTAATGGTGCTCCTCCCAGCAGACACCAGGCCGTAGCATGAGCCATGTGTTAGGCCCAAAGCCTGAGCAGGAGGTGCAAAAATCTGGCTCTGTGCAGCATTCTGGTCTCACCTGACCTGTGCCATTTGTATGACATGAAGCAATGGCTCAATATCTGGGAGAGACAGAGGCACAGTGACAAGCATGAAAGTGTCAAGATGAATGGGGGAGGCACTGGAAGTAGAGTGCAGAAATCAATCTCCACACTGACATCACCCCCCCCAAACTGTCAAAGTACACATAGCACAATAGCATGCTGGTTCAGCTTGATTTTCTGCTGTAAATTGGTGGATAAAAATAGGCCAGACAGAGAAGAGAAATCCTACTGAGAATTACCACATTGCCCTCAGGAAGCTAGGAGGAGAAGGAAAATCAGTGCCTTAGTACTGATAGTCTTGATGACAACATCCACTCTAGCTTGTGAGGCTCTTATTGGTGGCACTAGCAAGTGAACTCACAGGTAAGGGAGACTGCAGTGTCTCAGCCTGCTGTTCTCAGCTAGGTGAGACTGCAGACAAGAGTGATGGTGAAGGGACCAAAGGAAACGCAGCCTGGAAGAAAAGGGGGAGAAATACACAAGTACAATAAAAGGTAAAGTAAGAATCACAGTTGGAAATATTGTGTTATATTAAGAAAGATAAGAAGTGTTCCACACAGTTTGCCCAGCAAAGTTTTTTTAAAAAAGAAAACATGTGAAGAAATTGTTCCTAGAGTCCCTGCAGTTCCCATTCCTATTTCCCTTGGATTTCTCATCTCTGGTTTTGGAGCTGCAGGTGCTGACAGCTCTAAGAAAGAATACCTGCTTTCCAGTGCATCTTCATAACAAAGGCTTTCTAGGGAGCGTGTAAGGAGGACTGCAATGTTGCACGGTTCTTAAGTGCTTTAACTTGTGTATTGCTAAGGGCCTTCTGGTTTTAGTTTTAGCCTGCCTTTTGTCTTGTACCTTACACCTACATACCCTGAGGCTGCTGTGGCAGCACCTTGGCCTGGTATCTCAAGTGCTCTCATCCTCGGGGCCTTGCACTGGTGCATTTTGAATAATTGTTATGTCGTATTCCCTGAGAAAGTGATCGTTTCCTATGTCTAAGTCATCCTGTTTCTCCCCTATCTTCTCAACATCTTGCTTTGTGCTTTTAGATTGTAACACTGTCCTAAGGTTCCCTCCACCCCACCCCCACCCCCAGTCCACCTGGTAGCTTCTAGACCGTTGACTCCATATTAGAACAAACATGATAGTAAATAAGCAAATAATAGTGATTTTAATTTCTGATAAATATTATCCAATAACAGATGTTCACAAGGCTTAGTAGCCAATTGGTGTGCAACATTTGCACCTAATTAAGCATATTCCAATCAGTGCCAATAGTGTCATCAAACAAAGATCACCAATAGGAAATCTGAGCAGGCATCAATAAAAGGTATAATTGTATTGGGAAAATATGAGGGGTGGTTGTTGATGTGATTGTGACACCCCTGCTGCACTGGAGAGGATGCTCGCCTGGGGACCCCCGCTATTTCTCTTCCCTGCTAGCCACTGGGAAAAGTTTTCCCTTTCTTTCTCTCTCTCCCCCTCTCTGTCCCTGATTTTCCCAAAGTAACCTTGAAGTTGATGTATGCCATCAGCAAATAAAGCTTTGTGCATATCAGCCTGCCTCAACCTTCTTTGTGCAACAGCAAGATGAAAAGGAAAGAGTACATCAAAGAGGGGGAAAAAAGTAAAACAATAAATTTATTTAAAGTATATGCATACTTCTTCTGAAGTATTCAACTGTTAAACAGCTGACAGACTTGTGACACTTAACCTTCCA